AAAAAAAAAAAAAAAATGAATCACCTACCTCTCCCAAGAACATAGCTGAGAGTACAACAGAGAAGAAGGGCTCCATGGCTTTTATAGTATGAGTGAATGAAACAGCAACTTTTCCAAGACTCATGTTGGTGAAAAGGTTGCCTAAGGTATGCACCACTGCCAGTGGCAGAATACCTGCAAGCTGTCAATGTAAATTCAAGATAAATTTTACCACTTATAATTGTCAAAACTACGAAGAAAGAGTAGAATCACTGCTGTAACATTACCTGAGCGCCACTAATTTTTGGCCTTCTATAGAGATTGGTCGTCCACATGAGCATAACAAGCACACTCCCAACAGCAAATTGAGCTAAAGTGACGGTTACAGGATATGGGTATACTTTGAGCACCTGAGACAATTTATAATCATCTTAACTTTCAGCAATCAAGATTAGAAGTTTATATTACAAATGTCATGATGCAACTTATACCACACAATTGAAATACATATAGTTGTTTCTATTTCCAATTCAAAGGGCCTAATTTCAAAACAAACTTTAAAGTACCCACCAAATGATCCATATAAATTGATCCATAAATTTATCTTTCTTCACAATCAAAAGCAATTTAAAAGAATTCTCTGATTCTTTCAGCTGTGCATGAACGACGAAACTGTAAAGTTCAGAAAGCAAATAGAAAGGCTAATTGGATTCCTTTGTTATGGCAGGAAACAAGATGCAACATATATATTTTCCCATAATCGTCTTCATTTCTTTCATTAAATCCACAAATCAAGCAAATGCTACCCGACCTAAAACGAAAGCAAAGTAAATTTTAATCTTTACCAATAAAATAAAAAATTAACCATTAAATGAATGTAGATCAAATCATTACCTCTTATCCAATATTGTGAGGCAAAAAGACACTTGTCCATCAATTAATAAATCTCATTTCTCAGCATGTATAAAAACTTTGAAATTGCACAAACCATGGAATCAGTGAAATATTATTAGCAAATCACCAGAAACTCAAAACTTCCACTCAAGTTCTAGGATTTAGCCATTAAATAAATAAATAATAAATTAAAAAAAAATTCCATCCGCCACAATATAACACTTGAATTACCAAAATAATTGAAACCGAAACCAAACCAGACATGCATACTCCTAACACATACAAATATGTATACATATGTATATTGGACACTATATCATTAAAAGAAAAAGAAATAACGACCTGCTTGTTGTAGATATTGAAGTAGATATTAAACAGGTACCAAAGCCCGAAAAGCGATCCTAGCACCAAAGTATCTCCAATGCCCTTAGACTTCGGGCTTTCACCAGCACCCGCGCTTTCGGGTACTGATGTGGCCCGAACAACAAATCCTTCGGATTCGGGTTCCGCAAGTGGGCCCGAAATCCATCCATTTTGTCTTAAAGAACAGCTAAATGGGATCACTCCTCGGCCCGAAACTGACACATTCTTGCAAAAAAGCCGTTTTGTTGGGATGGGGTTGAATTTGTAGAGAAAAGATGTGCTAGGCTTTTGGAGTTTGGTTGAAAAAGAAATAGAAGGGCAGAACGAAATCGTAGTGCTCTGCATTTTTGGAGATGCAGATCAGGAAAAATATAGACAGAAACTGGGTATGTATATATAGTTGCGTGGATGGGTGGGGGTCGGTAAAGTTGGTGACTCCCTCGGGAGCAAGGCGAATTGGAACAGTAAGATTGAACAGTGGAAGATTGGGGGATCAGAATCAGAATTCAGAAGTATATCTGAAGGGTATTTTGGGGATTTCAGGTGTATGTTGCCACTTCTACGAATAATTGCACTATTGGTTACTAATCTATTGTTCTAGTAAAACAAAGGATTTCCAAACCGGTTAAAATCTTTGTTAAATTGTCACGTGATCCATTCATATTCTAATTGATGAAATTACGGTTTTCTTTACAAGTTAGGACAGTAATTGAGAATTTGAAGTGTGAAAAGTTTCCAAAAGATCACGTGGATAACTCGTATTTGTGCAACTACAATCAAAAGTTGGGACTAATTTGTTTCTTTTAAAAAGTTTATGATCAATTCACTAATGAAATAACATGTCGGGGGACCAATAATGCAATTTCTTTAAAATTTATTGGTGATGGGAGATTGGTGAGAAGTACATCAAAAGTAGGAAAAAAGGGATGTATACAGTATATATGCAAGTTTGAAGTTAGGTTATGGAAAATGATTGCCATTTTCCTTTTCACCAAACACAGAAAAAAGGATTGGAAGGGGGGAATGAATTTGATATCTTTTTAGATTTTTGGCCCATTCAATAAATTCATATGGTAATGGTTCTACATTTGAAGAATGTGACGAAATTTCGACAAGTTAACTTTAAGTTACGAGAAAATATTAGTGAATTCAATCATTATCAGCTAGTTTCGCAAGTATGAGGAAGTCAATTCAATTATAAACTCAACTCGCCTCTTAAGATAAAAATATACAATAACAAAAGTCGACTACGCGAATATTTATAGGGTTGATCCACCAATTTAGCTCAAAA